GACTTCAGAATAGACTATACGATAATCAGTATCACAACTTGAGTCAATGCCGTTTAACGAAAGAGTATCAATCTTTCGCATATGCGGACATGTTGCGTGATCTTCGTCGACTACTGTAAACTAACAATTATCATTTTACTGTACACCAGCTCTTATAAAGGGCCTGTGCCAACTGATGCCAGCAACAGCCGAGGCAGCGGCTATACGGCCGGGTAATCTAGTGCAGTGCCACTTAGCGATCCTATATCGCCCCCGCCCATCGGTGACAGTTGTTCACTCCGCGCAAAGGACAGTAATCTTCACCACACATAACCGAACCACGACCAATAGTCACAGCCCATCCTACTCTCCCCTATAGCTTCTCCCCTCTTGCCCCAATGCAGTGACGTGTACACGCCGATCTCGCCATGTAGGCGGCGTGAAAGGCATACTTTGCAATCAGAGAACACTGTCCAACTGTGTGGTTTTTATTAACACTGCGATTTTCGTATTGGTCAAGGATGTGCCATCTACTATAACCACTATACTATAAGTATTCCGTGTGATAGAAGAAGGGTGTCAAATTTTAGGTCAAATATTTTCGTACACAAGGCAAGTTGCCGTGAATAGACTGTTTGCTTGCGAGAGATAAAAGCGTCTGTGTGGGAGCTGGTGAGCAGAGCTGTGTTGTTCAAGCGTTTTTCGTTGTTCGTGTCATAACGCCGGAGTACGTGTGAGGTGTCTGATTGGGCAGTTCAAAAGGCCATTCAGGGGAACATGAACACAAAGAACTATGGCTGGCCGATGCGCGCTAGGTGGGCGCTGCCTGTACATGTGGCTCTGACTATGCTGAGGTCAAGTCTGGGTTCGGCCGTGCTTTGTTGGAACGTCTATTAGTTAACAAGCCCGTCGCGGCCGTTCAGACATAGGGGAAAAAAGGAGAGACTAGAGAAGCCACTAGGTCAAGACTGACGGGCGCGTGAGGATATTGGGACAGCTGCTACATTGTAACGGCCCAATAATGATTTCATGAAAAAAATATATGTTTGCCGAATAAGCTTTTTTAAACTAAACGTGGGAAAATAAGCTGAAATCAGAAGGTCAGGAACAGAATCGGAGGCTTCCGTTTTACCGTCTTAGCCGGTGTAAAAGATATAATATATAAAAATATGATGTATTAATGTTACTGTGTGCACCACCAATTATCATTTTTCTGTACACCAGCTCTTATTAAGTTCCTCCGCCAGCGGATGCCAGCAGCAGCCAAGGCCCTTGCTATACGGTTAGGTAATCCAGTGTTAGAATACGCTACTGCTATCACTGCCGTGGCTGACGGCGTCGCCAAGTAGCGATCGCATATCGCCCTCACCCATCGGTGACAGTTGTTCACTCCGTGCAAATAACAGGAATCTTCACCCTGCATACCACACCCATGACCAACGCTCAGAGCCCGTCGTAATCTCCCCCTCTCCCCCGTGCCGTACTGCAACGACGTCTAAACGCCAATCTCGGCATTTGGGCGGCCTGAAAACTATGCTTTGCAATCACATAACAACTATTTACGCTGTCCAACGGTATGATTTTCATTATCACTGCGATATTAACGGCCTAATGATGATTTTATGAAAAAATAAGTTTGCCCAATAAGCTTTTCAAGTAAAATATTGGAAAACTAGCAGAACTTAGAATGTTGGGGGTAGAAGCGGAGGTTTCAGTTTTACCGTCTTGACCAGTGTAAATTATATGATGTATAGATTTTACTGTGTGCACCATCAATTATCATTTTTCTGCACACCGGCCCTAATTTGGGCCCTCGCCAACGGATGCTAAAAGCATCCGAGGTAGTGGCTATTCGGCTAGACAATCCAGTGCTGTGTTTTCAGAAGACGCTACTACAATCACTGCCCTGGCCAACGGCGACGCCAGGGGGTGATCGTTTATCGTTCGCAAACATTGGTGACATTTGTTCACTCCGTACAAATGACAATAATTTTCACTATGCATAATCGAACACTGCCCAATAGTCACAGCACAGTCTTCTCTCGCCCCTGTCCCAGTGCAGTGAGGTCTACACGCCGATCCTGCCATTTGGGCGGCGTGCAAACCATGCTGTGTAATCACAAGACCCTTATCAACCCTATCCAACGGTATATTTTTCATTTTTACTAAGATATTAATGGCCTGATGATGATTTGATGAAACAAAGGTGTTTATCGAGTAGGCTTTTCAAGTTAAAACTGAGAACATTAGCAGAACTAAGTATGTTAGCAAGAGAACCGGAGGTTTTCGCCTTACCATCTTGGTCGGTGTAAAAGATATGATGTACAGATGTTACTGTGTACACTAGCAACTATCATTTGTCGGTGCACCAGCTCTTAATTGGAGCCTGCGCCAACGGATGCTAGCAACAGCCGAGGCAGTGGCTATACGCCTAGGCAATCCAGTGCTCTGTTGTCAGAAGACTCTACTATAAGCTACCACTATCACTGTTTTGGCCGACGGCAACGCCAGGCAGCGATCGTATATCGCCTCCGAACATTTTGTGACAGTTGCTCACTCCGTGCAAATGACAGTAATTTTCACCACCCCTTTAACTAAAACACTAAACAATAGTCACAATCCAGCCTACTGTCATCTCTCACCCTCCCCCTGTCCCTGCCCTGATGTCCACACGCTGATCTCGTCATTTGGGCTGCCTGAAATCTATGATTTGTAATCACGTGATCCTTATTAACCCTGTCCAGCGGTGTCATTTTCATTATCACTACAATTTTATCGGCCTTTTGATGACTAAATGAAGAAATATGCTCGTCGAATATACTTTCAAGTTAAGCACGGGAAGATTTACGGAACTGAGAATGCTAGGAGTAGAACCGCAGGCTTCCGTTTTACCGTCTTGTCCAGGGTAAAATATATGATGTAAACATTCTACTGTGTGCACCATCAATTATCATTATTCTGCACATCGACCCTAATTTTGGCCTTTGCCAAGGGATGCTGGCAACAGCCAAAGCAGGTGCTATACGGCTAGGTAATTCAGTGCTGTGTTTTCAGAAGACGCCAATACAATTACTGCCGTGACCAACGGCGACGCCAGGAAGCGACCGTTTATCGGTCCCACATATTGGTGACATTTGTTCCCTCCATGCGAATGACAATAATCTTCACCACACATAATCGAACCATGCCCAGTAGTCACAGCATATTCTTCTCTCCCCCCTGCGCCAGAGCAGTGGCGTATACACGCCGATTTCACCATGTAGGCGGCGTGCAAACCATGCTTTGTAATCACAAGACCCTTATTAAACCAGGCCGAAGGTATGATTTTCGTTATCACTGCGAATTTAACGATCTGATGATGATTTTATGAAAAAAATGAGTTTGCCCAATAAGCTTTTCAAGTAAAACATGGGAAAATTAGCAGAACTGAGAATGCTAGGGGCACTTCCGTAGGTTTTCGTTTTGCCGTCTTGGCTAGTGTAAAAGATATGACGTATAAATATTACTGTGTATATTAGAAATTATCATTTTTCTTTTCTTATTTAGGGCCACCGCTAACGGATGCTAGCAACAGCCGAGGCAGTGGCTATACAGCTAGGTAATCCAGCACTGTGTTGTTCGAAGCCGCTAATACAGGCTACTTATATCAGTGCCGTGGCCGACATCGACGCCATGTAACGTTCGCATATCGCCCCTGCATATGGCCCCCGCCCATTGGCGACAGCTGTTCCCTCCGTGCGAATGACGCATGCTCGCAAGACAACGCGGGTTTCTAACACAATCACCAGGTGGAGACTAAAGAAAAATGGGACTGGCAGTGTATGCTGGATTCCGGCTTGCTACAGACACCTGCGTGCCTCAGCATAATACACCTGTTACTGTTCTTAGTAACTATGGTTACTAGAATTGGCACTCAGGCATAGGGAAGTACTTATAGCAGTATTATCTAAGTTCTCGTAGTCCCACTCGTATTTGAAACCAACACAGCCTCGGCGGATAGATTTGAGGGAACGTAAAATGTGGCAATCCCTGACGTTCACAGGGCCTCAAACATGCATTTACTCGAAATAACATAAAACCAGATTTTTAACTCGTTGTTGAGGTCATTGATATATGAACAAAAGCGTTTATTACAAAACTTGGTCACTTCTGACAAATGTTAGCGTCATATATAGTACCTGCACTACGAAGACTTGGCTACATTCATAGTCAGTTGAAGTTGTAACTGTTGTAAACATATCAGTCTCGGCCCTCTTGGACTTGGTATTACAGCTATTAAGGGTGAGCGGGGGTA